ACCGCCGTCTCGAAACGCAAGTAAGACAGAGACGGATTCGGCCGAAGGGATTCAAGGGATCATAGTAGGCTTTCAATTAGTTTTTTGATTGATTTCGCAGCCGCCAGGAGCGCTACTTAATTGGAAGCGTTGATTACAGTCCGGGCCCTCTTTGATGTGCTCCCCGTATAATTGGCCTGTTTAAGATTGATTATGAATTTTGTTAATCGATCCTTGCAGTTGCAGATATTGAATTCTTAATGGAGTAATTGTGGGCCGACGAAAAACTTAATTAGTTAATTGGCCCCGAGCCCAAGAAGAAGACGAAACAACGCCGCTGCAATAACAAAATGGAGCGGCCGCCGTCATCAATACTGTGTGTGTCCTATCACTATCTGTAATACACTTAGAAGCCTGCATATATCAAACATCTGCCCATTATCCAAATTGACTGCTGTAATCAACTAAAAAGAATTCAATCCACTTCGACCGTGCATTCATATTTTTGTCTGGAACTCGGAACCTTCTTTACGTCGACGTGAAAGCTAAGTTTTTGCGCTCTCGGCGCTAATTCCCGATCCGGCTCGAAGGACCAGAAAATCATTTCCTTTATTCGCGCGTATGGCGTAAACGAAAATAGCGCGCCCCCATAACCCCATTAATATTAAATTTCACTCCAATTTATTAACTACTACGGAATATTTAATGGCCACTAATTTCCCACCTTAATTGTGTTAGGTAGGGAACTGTCGGAGGCCTTAAGCTCCCGTCGACTTTTTTAATCTACATTATTACGGCCATAACTTTAAAGCCGTAATCGAATAAAGTGTAATAATTTGCGCGTTATAAGTGTCGATTCTTATAAAGTGCCTCGAGTATATACACTGGCCAGGGCCCTTTTAACTAAATTGAAAATAACCGTATAAGTTACAGGCGTCGATGAACCACTTCGCACGCCCAACACAAAACAGGCCGCTCTCAAATAAATTACTTTTATCGAAATCCAACATCGACGCTTTCCATAATATTTGATTTTTATTGCGTTAGTTCGAAACGCCTACGCCCGGCTCGGGGCCTCCATTCCAATTCGGCTAATTGCCCTCGGTCCGTCCAGACGCTACGTCAAAGGGGTAGACTGGCAGCAGACACGTCTTGAGAGCAAACGTGTTTTGTTGGTTGCCTCGATCGAGAATTACACTCAGACAGCAAACAACATCCAGACGCGAAACGAAACAGCTAACGTCGGCGCGAGCTGCGTTCGCTCCAAAGGACTCATACCACCAAAAAACGTATTCTTAAAAAATATTGTTCTTGACTCAAAACACGAAAGCTCGACAGAAAAAAAGATAGTGTTAGATCATGTGCTTACAATTAATGTAGATACATTTTTTCTTTCGGTCTTGTTAATGACGTTGACTATGACGCCTTCGGGCCTCGGTTAGCGAAAAGAGAACGTCCGCTTCCGCCATTATATCTAATAAGATCGACAAATTCCGATGGCGGCGCGTTATCGTCGTCCGTAATTAGCTGCGAGAGAACAAAAAGCCAGCGAAAAAGCGCCATTTTTTCTTCCCGTTCTTTTATAAATGCAAGCAAAACATGACGAAGTTTATTATGATGGGGTGAATAAACGGAATAAGATTATAAAGAGACGTTGCAGGGAAGGAATTTTTAATTTTTAGGTAGTAAAACGAAATAGGTAGTAATTTTAATTAAAAACTTGAAAAGTATCCTTTGTTTTAGTAGCTGAAACAAATAAAGTTTAAGAGGCGGATGTTTTGTTCCGGTAATTAGGAGGAAATTAAACCGTCACGGATGGTCATCCCAGGAACACTCCAATCCAAACTTCACACAGATTTATTCGAGTTTTTATTGCGCGCCGCCAACTTTTGAGCCGTTATAAATTGCATCGAATTCGACGTGCTTCATAAAACAGTGCAGAGATCTCATTTCCAGATAGTAGTCGTCCGGATCTTTCCGGGCGCGAATCCGGATTATTAAATATCATCGCCAGCGCGCGCTCTGTCCGAAACCGTGAGTTATCGTGGGGGTGGGGACATTAAAAAAACTTCGTTAAGGAGAGGATAAACAGCACCGTGCCATTAAAAAATACATTATTTAACTTTCAAAGCACGTACGTCAATTCTGACTGCAAACGAGCACCACTTTAAACGAAAAAACTTTATACTTGATTAGTAGCGTTAAATTAGGGTCGGCGAAACTTAATTAAATTTTATATAATGAACTAACTGAGGAAATGCTGAACAAAAATAATTAAAAACCTAAATTTGCTCCGCCCGTGTACAGTTAAGTGACAAACTTAATTAACAGGGTTATTCTTCGGATACTTTCGAGCAGGACGGGCCCTTATCATTAGACTTATTGTCTTCCATTCGCGAAGGTGAGGGACCCTCAGGGTTTTTAATTGGAAAAGGCACGGCAAAAAATCGAGCCGGAACACCCCGCTAGACTCTTAATAATGTACAAACTCCGCTTTATTAATACGTTTAATTGCGGCCGCCTACTTTGCTTTCCTGTCAACGCCGATTCCCCTCTCCTTCTCACACGGACCTACCCACTCAAACCTACTCTACTTTACACTTCCTTCCAAAAACTCTTCAACAGTTTAATTTGGATTTTTTCAACACCTATTTAAACAAAAATCGTTTTTGTTTTTATTAATGCGATATCTCCGATAACCCATTTAAATAATTCCTCCGTAAATTGCCAAATTTGATAAAAGATTATGCTCTAGAAGCGAGTTACACACTTACAAAAAGATTACGATCAGATTTTACCATCACAATAAATAATGAAACTTGTAATAATCAAGTTAAACTTTGTGAATCAGCAAAACTCGTTGCCTTTTCAATTTACAAAACACACCGTCGTGTAACTCACCTAGAACAATCTACATTTATCTAACAGTACGATTTACGGATTTGCGGCGACTCCCCTCTTCTTCGCCGAAACGGACTTAATTTCCTTATCCGCACAAGAAGCGGGCCTTGTTCGAATTTAAAAAATCCGCGCGGGGTCGGTCCCCGTCCCTCGCTGCGAGCGTAAATAGGTAATGAGATGATAAATTGAATGAGTCTAATCTGAAATAAATAAGCGGAAGGAGGAGAAAGCAAAACAGAACCGGAGAGTAAGTGGCACTAAACGAACTAAGTGACGGATGGGGGTGAGAAACAGAGACGGATTGATGGCGGACGTATTGCGAACAGGAAAGAGAGCCGTGCCCACAGACGGGACAATATAACCGTGAAATTGATCGGCGCTGCTTCTTCAAGAGACCGCCGAGCTATTTCAAACTGCCGATGTTAAGCAAATCCGGGTGTTGGTCGAGATGATTGTATATGTCGATCAATTCGATGTTTCTTCTTCCCGGGACCCGGAGTTTTTATTTAGACGACGCGCCGGAGCGGTGTCGGGGACTAGTTTACGCCCACAATGCCACCAATTTTTTTTATCTTGATGTCGGGCGAGGATTAGAGCAGGAAGCAATTATTGCTCAATATATCTTCAGCTTTGGTAATTTTTTCAAAAAATTGCGAAAATATGTTGATATGAAGATATATAGTACACAGTTTTGTTTAGAATTTAGTAGGCGACGTTGGTACACACGATGCTTGTGTTGGAAAAAGTTTAATATGCAGGAACCCTAGTCACTCGTCTATGAACCGGAGCGAAAGCTGTCTAGTTTGCGTCGCTGTCATCTCGAAAGCAGTAAAACTCGGCACACAGACAGAGAGACGATGTAAAAGTTTACGAGCAAACAGTTGAAAATATTATCGTTTTACTACTGTGTTATTGCAATGACAAGTTTATTCCGGCGCTGTGAAACTTGTGTTTTGATTCGGCATAAACGTTAAATATGACGGATATGGCGGTTATGTCTACGGTGTCTTAGCATCCCCCTTTTCTGGATTTACGCTTTCGTAATTATTTGCGGCGTTCTGATTTATCGTCGGACGTCTATGGAGTGGCGTGCACTGTATAAATTCCTGCCGAGGTTTTATTATTTCACACAGATTTTCTCGGTGTGTGCGACAGGAAAACTCTCATAACTCCGCCGAGAGTGCGTCCGAGCAGGGGCGGTTCGTTGACTCCCGCTAAAACTCGAAACCATAAAAAATTCACGAAGATTTGTTGATTCTCCTCAGAGTCGCAGCTACTACACAAAGTCTTGAATGGATGAATTACTTTATTTTGTATAAATGGCTTTACGAAAGTTCAAAACTGCGGATTTCATAGCCGCCGTCGTTTACATGGTGACTTTAAACATTGTTGTGTCCTAAAATCCACTCTCCATGATTAAAGTTGCAAACCAATCATTGGTTAGTTTCCCGTTTTTCTTTGTCTTTGGCTTTAGATAAATACTGATCACCGATGAGTCATTCACCCTTACATGAATATAAAAGTAAGCAGTCAGGGATTCCCTTCACCTGAGAATTTTCTCAGTGCCCAGATAAATGTTACAATTTCACCAGTCAGAGACGGCCGACGAGCGTGGAAAGCATCCTCAGCAGTTTTTTCAACTATCAAAATTGTCTACATGAAAACAACAAACTCAACCACAGGTATGCGTTAATCGGTGACGTCAACCTGCCAACCGCGACCGTTCAACCTTTTCACGAGCCGCCTCTGGCGAGCGCCACTCTCCGTCTATCCCGTGCCCGCGGACGTGAAGGTACAGAAAAGCGAGACGGATTGTATCAAAGCAGGTCCGGCTGCAAGAGGATAAATAATGTAAGGCAATAATAAAATATGGCTAGTCCGGCGGTAACATACCTCGCTAGTTTAATAAAAACGTCAACCGTCTCGTAGAGGGCCATTCCGGGACAGGGGTCGCCCCTGTTTTATTTTCTCCACCGTGCAATATTAATATACGTATTAGAAAAGTCGCTTTCATGTAAATGTTTGCCCCCGACGGGAAATTGATATGCAAGTCAAATATTAATAAAACCAAATTTAATCTCGCTTTTCGTCTATAAATCCCGTTCTGTTTGTTGTTCCAGATAAAGGCGAGGCCTGACGGCCCTATGATGACCATGGACGTGTCCAAGGGCGAGTCGGCCAAGCCCAGTGCCGGCCAGGGACCGCAAGAGTGTGCCGGTTGTTGCAAGACCATCACCGAGCGGTACCTCCTTAAGGCCCTGGACTTATACTGGCACGAAGACTGCCTCAAGTGCGGTTGCTGTGACTGCCGACTGGGCGAAGTCGGGTCCACGCTCTACACGAAAGCCAACCTCATTTTGTGCAAAAGGGACTATTTAAGACTTTTTGGTAACACCGGGTACTGTGCGGCCTGTAGCAAAGTTATACCGGCGTTCGAGATGGTGATGAGGGCCAGGAGCAACGTCTACCATCTCGAGTGCTTCGCTTGCCAGCAGTGCAACCACAGGTAAAAATTTAATTAAGCCACCAATTGTTTTTTTTTTTGCAGCTGGGCGCCAGCTAGTTTAGCCCTAGACCGAAATAAAAATTGTCAGTTTTAAACTCCGCATGTAATATAATTGAAAAATGGTGGATGCGCCGGTGCACCTCTCCATTTCTCGAATTCAGCTCGCGTAGTCAATGTTTGATACCGTCCACCGCGAATTATTCATGTAAAACGTATAAATGCGAGTCGACAGTCGCACGTAACGACCTCCTGTAATGGGCAGGTTGCTCCGCGTCGCTTTTCCTGCAACAAGCGGGCCGTAAACGTATCGCGAGTAAGTAGCGAGAAATTCTCAAAAGTGTAATGCGATATGGCGAGCAAGACCGGCGCTGAATATTTGAGGAGTCGAGAGGAATCTGGTGTGTCCTACGGCTTTCTTCTGGCCGAGATCTGCATCCATCTAGTTGGACGACGACGCGCCGTTGTCTTTTACAACACTTTACAAGCCATCAGGGAAATCATTCCTGCATCCCGGTGTGCGGACTATTTGAGCCTTGATAGATATGTGGCCTGCTGCTGGCCTACCAGGACGGCACAGCGGCGGCTCGCGGTGGCCCAAAACAGAAAAAAGGAGCTCGTAAATCGTGGCTTTTTGTGCTGAAATTTTGACAATGACAATTTCTCCGTAACTCTTCGAAAATCACATAGAAATTAAATAACAACTTGTAGATATTTTTTGTTTTGATTCTTCTAGCCTTGAGACATAAAGCACTTTTACTGCCCTCTTTAAATAAAGCTTCACCACAAAAAATAAAGTATTGTGTCAATTTCGACTCTGAAATTGAATTTTCGGATCGGCCCGTGTCGCCAAACCGGTTTTTCGGGTCTCGCTCAGCGAAACCGGTTAAACCGGAACCTGGTTTCGGTAAACCAGTTTGGCGAACACGGCTCGCCGGAGCATCGGGCAAAAAATTCGATTACCGTCCTCCGATTGTCCTGACCATTTTAATAAAAGTAATTTCGCGGTCCATTGTTGGCGATTTTAATATGTGAGTCGTGCATGAAAAACGGGAACAAAACGCGTCGTTTTACAACGACGCAGTTCCGTTTGAAAGGACAATCGTTTTATTGTCAAATTATCCGAAAAACATAAAACAAACGCTCTGTGTGTGCTTGGGAAGGTCCCCGCGCCTCGCCACCCCGACCGACGTAAAAACAATAACAAAATCTAATATAAAACGTACAATAGACTAATAAAACAACAATCGGAAACAAAAACTGCAATTATAAACATGACAATATATCGCTGCGTCGACCACTCGGTAATGCAGTTAAATATATTAATAATTGCGAACAATAAAAGTGGATTATTTCGCATGGACGACCGCTGTAATATTTCAGGGATCAGGGTGGACGAGGAACAATGACTCGCGCACAGGGGCGTACGGCACTTCCGCGAAAACTCGCACAATATCGAGTAGGTATAGTTACCATTGAAACTTTTAAGTTAAATTATTTGTGTGTCACAAAGGCGAAATTATCAGCTTCGCTGCCCAGCACTCTACGTCTCCTTACGTTGGAACATTTGCCATAGCAGAAAAAAAATTAAACTACGTCAAATATTATTTTTGTTTTTTAGTGTTGTTTGGAATCAGCAGCGGCTCCCCTCTTCTTCGCGCGATCAGACTTAATAAAAAGATTATGACGTACGCGACCTAGTGCCCTTTCAATCTTTTCTTAAATTTCGGCCAGAATTGACCATAAAGGCGGCAGGCTGTCCGACTCCACAGAAACCGAAATCTAGAAGTGGCTTTTGACTGTTTCGGCCCATCGATAAAATTTGTTAATAGACATTTTATCGTTGAGCAAGTTCGAAAATCTCCGTGCGATCGCCGCCGCCGAAACCGGAAAAATAAGAAGGGGATTTTATTTTCACGCGAGGGTTGGAAGCAGTCTACTAAAATGGTCGTAACCCCGTTTAGCAAGTTGGCGAGGAAGTGTTCGACTCTATCGCGTCACATCCTCCTTAATCCGGTTTTTATTCGATTAATAAACATTTTAGTGCGGCTCGATTCGTCGTTTTTTTGTTTTTTTTTCTCGAAAACGAGCCGAACACAAAAAAGGAAAAATTTTCCAGGTCGTCAACAAACAACCCCCATTGTTCCGGATCCGATATAATATACGTTTTGGGATCGCACAATGGTCGCTAACGGTATCAATTTACAAACGTCTCTTTCAATTATACCAAAAATGACGAAACATTGCGGGCCATTAAATCTGCAGAATACAGATATAACTATAATAGTCCGGCCAACAATGGCATCAAATAACGCTTCCATATATTTTCGTTTATTAGCGCCGATTTCCACCTAACTGCCTCCATAAAGTCAAAATCTGAACATCGCGATAAACCGACCATTGTTTACTTGATTGTTAAATTTATGTTTGTACAAATTAAATCTGCGCGCCACCGCTATCTGGCGGCTACAAAAGTTGACAATCAGGTACGGGCGCGACCGCCACCACGCGAGAGCGGCAAACCGCATACCGCATTCCTTCCATTCTCGACAACTATAAACAAAACTGATATGTTGTATTATTTTTGACACTTATCTTCTAAAACAGATAAAAAATAACCGAGAGGAAGCGCCGACCACTGTCCACCAAAAAAAAAAAAAAATGTGACAATTGAATAGACGCAAACCCGACCTTCCGAGACCATCACGACATATTTTATAGACTTAAAGTCATGGCAGTCTTTTAATTTAAAAAATACTCTACAGCAATCTGTACTTACTTTCAGCACCTGGTTGAGTTTGCAAATGATTTTCTCCTCCACAATGAAATTAGGTAACAATTTTCTGGTGTAACAGTGAAATTCGTTATAAATTAATGGATATAAAACGGTACTTTGCCGGCTCTCGGCGTCACACCAGCGGTAATGGCGTGTTTTTGTTGGATCATTTATAAAAGGTCGCTTTGGCGTTGTTGACGTTTCGGGTCCGGAATGTCCGCCCCGGCCGGATCCGGGTCCGGACTATTGAAACAACGATAGCGTGCACGACACACGGTCAGATATATTTGTTAACCGGGGCAAGGGCTCTTTTATAAACATTTTAATTGGTGTCCTAAATCATAGTCATTACCCATTCGGCAACGGTATTGTGCCACGTTGCGATAGCCGGATAGTCGTCGCAGGACTCTAAAACCCGGACAAATGAATTCAAAGTCCGGACGCTGGCTTCCCGCACGCCAGACATTCTCATTCTTCAGTGACGGCGCATCGGTCAAGGACTTTTTAATTTATTACAACCGAAATTACATTTATAAAACACAAAAGGGGAAGCACGCAGACAGTCGTGCGGTCACCGCAATCTAATTTTCTTTTTACGTTATCAAATGGGGGTTTTAGGGGAATTTCTACTTTTGACATTTTTTCGAGCTGCTTCAGGAGGACACAGAATGCTCGAACAAATGAAATTATTTTCAACAGTCCGGTTCGAAAGTTCAATTTTTTATTGATGCCTGTCAGAATTTAAACGTCCGTCAATTTTCATCACTATTTGATTGGCGATTTCGCGCTCCTTTTTTTAGAAACTAAATGCATTTTCGCTGTTTTTACTGGCCCGTTTGTCTATCTTTGAAATTCGAATCGTCTAATTCATTATCGGAGCGCTAATACGTTTCACGGTTCGGAATAAAATATGGTTTTCGTTAACTAGTCTGGAATAAGTCAACAATGACAGGTCAATTGAATATAACGAGTTCGTGTTGTAATTCGCGTACAGCATGCCGTGTTAAGTAATGAGTAATTGCATATTGGCACCGTTTGTCATTGCATACGGATTAACTCACTGCTATACGCCATTATACGTGTTGGTGGATCGAATGAAACGATTTCGGCAATTCCAACACGGTCTACAAGATCACACTTTTGCTTTTTTTTCTCTATAAACACCTAAAAGCCATTTCAGTCTACGAGTTCAACTGTCGAAAGTCACTTATTTATTGTCTCAGTGATTCAGTGGTGTTCACATGAGCATTTATCGCGATACAACAAAAGCTTAGTAGAAATAACCAGACGTATTATACTTTAAAACCCTTCAAATTTTTGTCTGCGATAATTTCGAAATTACTCTCTTTAAGTTTGTTTGCCGCCTACAGGAACGTATTCTTGTCGTGTTAAAAATTTCCACCTTGCTGGAAAAGCGTGGCGATCGCAGCACATTAGAGCCCTTCAGTTTAGAATTATAGCGTACATTGGTTAGTTTTTCATTCGTAATGTTTAACACCTTGATTTATACACTAGTATCACCATTTTACGGCCGTTAAATCGCTTTTGTAGTCGCATGATTTACGACGGCATCAAGTCAATATGAAAGCGGATTTTCCGACCGTTTTTCCCCGGCTCTCTCTCTTCCCCACGTTGTAATCCGCATCATTTTCGACGTTTTCTGTTCCAGATTCTGTGTCGGCGATCGCTTCTACCTGTGCGAAAACAAGATACTCTGCGAATACGACTACGAGGAGCGGCTGGTCTTCGCCAATATGGCGTACAACCCGCCGCCATTGTCGCACCTTAAGAGGCAGACGTCGATCCCGCCGGTAAGAGTTAGTATTTTTATTACTAATTTTTGTGTGCGTCTTTAATGTTCAGCGTGGTGCGGCCTGTCAAGTTGATTTGACCTCGCGACGTAAGTGATACGTCACTTGTGTCTTCAGGCCAAGCCAGATTTCCGCTAGTTGTCGATGTGTTTGATCTGTTTTTATTATTTTTTTATTTTTTTGTGTTGTTGCAGCCCAACATCCCGAACCACCTCATGAACGGGCACCGGGCGCCCCTGCCGCCCACCAACGGCGACCTCAACAACAACATGTCGGCTTCCGGGGGGCAGCCGCCGCCGAACTCCATCGCCAACCAGCCCTTCCAGACGGCGGGCCATTTGAAAAACAGCCCGATGTCGCTCGGCGCGACAAGCTGAAGGCGATGACGTCTGTCATAAACTGTGATTTTGCGTTGAGACTTTCATCCTTCGTGTACATAAGTTATTTTTTACTGTTTCCTTTTTGAGTATTGTTTTGTTTCGTTTTGTATTTTACGTGAAATGCTCAATCACTGCGTATACTTGTAAAACGTCGGATTCGATAAGTACATGTGCAATATTGTGCGGATTTTACCGTTTTCACTCAATTTCGATGTAAGATATAAAAACACCGTGCTGAATATGTGGTGTTGGCAATTTTGGACGGTTTTTTCGAGATTCTGTAACGAACTACTCTAGACGAACTAATTTTAATGCCTATTGTGGTCGAAACAAGGTCTTAAGTCTTGTTAGTGAACTCGACAACTAATTAAGTGCGAGCTTAAATGGACTAAGACTTTGAAACTGCACAAGATTTATTCACAATGTCGGTTGAATACAATTTCTGAATAAAGGCGCTTGTATGGAAATTTAATGGGATTTTGAAAAAGTTATAACATTAACCGAGATTACGGTTTAATCAACGCTGGAAAGGCTCGGCTGCCGATTTTAATTGCCGCTGTAAAATATGTGACGAGATATAGCTTGCGGATAAGTCTTCTGAGAGCAAATAGATAATACTTTAATCTTCGTTGTCATCGCGTTGTGGCAACGCTTCGAAAACAAAGATATCGCTGTCGGTTATGAAACTACTCCGAAGTGAGGTTATGTTTAACATATACCTCGGTTAGACAGAGGGAATCTTTATTTTGTCTGAGCTGGGGTAATTACGGATCAAACTCCAAACGGGCTTAAATTCAGGCGTCGAGTGATCGAACAAGAAGGTGTAGTTAGCCGAAACCGCAAAATTCTATACCAGGTATTCAGTGTCCGCCATTGTAATTAGGTTTGAAGTTTGTAAATAGACATTGTTAGAATTAGTAATTAATGTTGATAACGTATACTATATCGAAAACTAGTTGTTTTCAACATAAATGTTAATTATGATCACTATTATTATTGCCGTATGTTAACTCGTTGCCATTTATTTTTATCTTTATCGTTTCCAAGTGTTCTTTTCCACTGTATAAACCCCTGTATATATCCATTAGCGTTGTTTTTGTAACATATTAAGACTAGGTGCCAATTCTAGATTTTTGTGTACAAAATAAGAAAAACTTTGTCAGATGTATTCGATTATACCAATGATTTGACCAAAGAAATAAATAGATTTCATGAGAGTGGTTGTTTTTTCGCGTTCACCTGATTGATTCCAGAGGCGTCCGTTGTTTGCAGCGAGCGACTCCATTTACGTCACATAACCAACCTTATTATATACAGCAATTTCAGATTTGCGGCATAAGAAAAATTGCACCTTTCCCCTCCACGTTCCGTCTTTGTTTCGCATTCCGCACCGCCGACGCACCCTCTTTGTCGTCACTATCAGGACAATCTTTAATTTCGTAGCTTGTTAACTCGAACTTACAACAATAACGGGGCTTATTGGAGGGATTTTTCTTGGTTTTTCGGACGAGCAAAATTTAATTTAAAGCGTAACGTCGAAACGAACGCGCCACCGTTGCGTCAATTGCGACCTTATAGTCCGGAAAAAAAGACAGACATAGCCGATTTCGGCGCGCCGGTTTCGCAGGTGGAATTAAAACTCCCATAATTACCCCCGAACGGTTATTAATAACGCTCCCGAGTCCGCCAACATCCACAATCAAACCTAAAACCATCGCTTAATTGAAATTAATATCTATCAGAGAGCCAATTAGCGAAGACTGATGTAAATAACGATTCTGGCGGAGGCGCCGGGAGCTCTCTTCTCTCCACTCTCCATACACTTCCTCGAGGGCATTTTTATGAGACCTTAACGAGATTAAGGCTCGCCGTTACTAGTTTATAATAGCGGTATTAAGGAGTTAGTTGATGTAAGCTCGAGCTTGATAATGTATGCGGCTCGAGACTGGTGCAGACTTACAACTTCCAGTTTCGACGAACAACTACTTGCGAATGTAACGAATTTAATAAGCGGATCGGTCGCCGCCGCCCGACATTAAATTGCCGTCGACGGTGACGGTTCGTGAATACGTGAACGGATGGCGCGTAGCCAGAGGACGACGTAAAGGTGGCTTCACAAGGCGGCGGCGGTAAATCGAAAATAAAATTGAAACAGTGAGGGAAAAAATTACAAGAACAAGATATTTTAGAGACGATAAAAGTGTGCATTATTTGCATATTTAATAGCAGATTGGGAGTGTGGACGTGTCGCGTTGGAGGAAACGGAAATCCAGAATTTACATAGAAAAATAATAACAAAGACAAAAGATTACAGCAAAAGAAACACAATGCAGTGACAATTAAAAAAAAAAGATAAAGCATCAAAATACAACTGACTGGAAGAGAGTTGTACAAGGACACCTTGCGACATCGGCGATCTTTCATTTTCAACGAACCATTAAAAAAAAGCCAACAAGGTAGGTACTAAAATATCTCTAGGAAATTTAAAAGTTTAATTTTTAGTTTTAAACAGGAAAAACTTTGCTAAAACTTATAAAAATTAGGTTTGCTAAATGATCTTCCATCAAGCGACCACTGGAAAATTACCGTTTTTCAATTTTCCCACTTATCTTTCCATTGAGTTTCATTACAAGTTGGTGTCAAGTTTCGGCACCTCTTCTCAGCAAGGCGGCAAAAATAAATAAAAAAGAAAATCAAACTATCAATGTTTTTTTAAGCAATAATAGCTAGTACTTGCTAGATAAGATTAATTTTGGCATATGACTTATTGTTCTAAGAAAATAAAGGCTGGGTGGACGGAGCTAGTACTTGCCAAATAACCTACCCTCTAAGAAAATAAAAGGTGGGTGAGCTGGGCTAATATTTGCCAAAATAAGACTCGTTTTGGCAAATGATCTACTCTTCTAAGAAAAGATACTAGCCCCGCCCACCCACTCTGTATTTTCTTAAAATAGGTCATCTGCCAAAATCAATCTTATCTTGTCAAGTATGAGTCTGATTTTTGCAAATGACAAATCCTCTAAGAAAATAAGGGTGGGTGGGTGGGGTTAGTGCTTGTCAGAATGAGACTAATTTTAGTAAATGACATATCCTCTAAGAAAATAAGGGTGGGTGGGCGGGGCTAATACTTACTAGGTAACACTGATTTTGGCATATGACTTATTGTTCTAAGAAAATAAAGGCTGGGTGGGCGGAGCTGGTATTTACCAAATAACCTACCCTCTAACCAGAGAGCGATATTTTTGTAACGATGAATAATTGACGTAATTGATCGTAACTATAAATTGCCGGTGGAAGTTTGATTTTTTTATTTTTACCGCTAGTATATGCACATTTTCGGAAAGGCGGCACATTAAAGTGCAATGTGCTTTCGAATAAGCGGCTGAATTTTGCTACATTCAGGAATATGTTTGAAATTTTTCGGCCCCACACGATAATGTATAAAATAAAACAAATGTCAAAATTAACTATAAAATACGAAAACATTATGTAAAATTTTAAAAAGAACAGAAAAGAAATTCCTGAACAATAATTGTTGGATAGAGAGCATAAAATTAATAAATAATGGCGTCAAAAATATTAGTCTTTGAAGTTCGACTGTTTAGCTATCAGCGGTGTAATTTGCCGCTCCCTAGACATAGTGTACGCTCCTCGTCTTTCCACTCGTCGCGGATTATTTTATTCGGTTGTTCTCTTCGTCTCGATTGTCGCGATCAAGTCGGCCGTGTGCGATGCGATAGTCACATTTAAATACAACTTGTGTTCAATGGCGCGACTGTGCGATTTATTCGCGAAAACATGCCCGTTCCCTCTAAAATATGTATTTGTATTCAGTATCAGTGCGGTCTTAACGTCCCATTGATACACCGTTCCGACGTTTCGACTTGTTTCGAACCTACTTTACGGCCGGAAAAGTTGATAACTGCCGGATTTTCTCCGGATCATAAAAGCTTCAGCACCGGAATTCGCACAAGAAAAGCTATACGGAGGTGGCGGACATATTTTAGAACGCTAGCGCACAGTTAAGTTATCAGAGCTAGAGCGCGGAGGCGGCGCGCCGCTCCACTTCATATAAACAGAGTGGAGCTTCTAATTACCATACTGCGATCTTAAATAATGGCCTGTATTAAGAAACGTTTAAATAATCTGGGAACAACCAGGTGGGATCCAAGTTTATTCGCTAAATGCCTCTATTCTTCATCTTAACTTCGTCTTTCTCTCGCTCTCTCCCTCTTACGCCGTTCCGGGAGTCTCTCTCGCCTTAAGCCCCGCCAGATTTACATAAGATTATTTCACAAACTGGCAGCCTTTAACTTTAAACCTACTTTAGCAAGTAAAGGGAATTTTAGACCGTCGAGGAACTTGTCGCAACTTTTACATATTTGATTGGGGATTTCATTTACGTTTTAATCCGCTCAAGCTTGATTGAGCTTCCTTAACACCTCTTCTCGCTTGCAAAAACTAAATTGTTTGATAAAGTCGCCGTTTATTTAGAAAAATCGACCCCCCCTGTCTATAAACTGCTAGCGACCAAATCTCCTGTCAGAGCCACGTAACAAAATGCCCCATCGTCCGGAACCGGCTGATCCAATAAAAATTGATTTGCTTCAGGACTAGCCGGATCAATTACCGGATTAATCCGGGCCGACTTCTTCGCCGCGGCGTCCAAACGCTCCAGAACAACCGGCGGATACTCAGTGAAAGGACCCACGATACGCAAATCGTGCAAATAACCCAAAAGCGCCATAATGTAGTCGTTCCTTATCGCTTTCATGCTGGAGCAGTGATCACCATGGATGGTACACAAAGTCTGCAACCACGCCGCAGTTCTCGTCTTATCTTCAGCAGGAAGCAGCGCGGCGTAAGGTCGCGTCAAATACAGCAAATACTGAAACTCTTGGTCCAAAACCTAGTCGGATTAGTACGTGGTACAAGCACAACCTACTTTATCGAGCCTGTGGTCCTGTTTACATTCATCTGGAGAACCATGCACGCTGCAAGTCATCATCTCGAAATCCTCAGGAAGCGACAAAAGCGTCTCCTGCCACATCCTGTCGGTCTCCCATTCGGCTGCAGTCGACGGTTCCGGGTGAATCGTCTTCAAACAAACCAAAGCGTCGTCTGGTGGCTTTTCCCGAAAGATTCCAGAGACCTCATCATTGAGAAGATTACATGTGAGAGCTACCAAATACCTGTTTCGCTTTTCCCTCAACATCGAGGTTTGGTACTCCGGTCTGAACAATTTTTTTATCCACGGAGTCACTAAAGCCTTATCAGGGTCGTTCGTCAGAGTCGGTGCTATTACTTTAAGCACGGAACCGTAGTAGAGGAATTCCATACTGAGAGCATCCTGGTGGCTGTAATTACCAGGTTCGAGAAGATAAAAATTTTAAGGTTGACGGGGTTACGTTGCTGATGGGGGTTCCGCTGGAGGTGCTGCTGCTTCTCCCTCTGGTGGAGCTTCTCCAGGTGGAGCCTTTTCTTCTGGGTGAGGTGCTGCAGCTGCACCCTCTTCGTTCGGTGGAGCGTTTTCTTCTGGTGGAGCTTCTCCGGTTGGAGGTTCGCCTTCTGGTGGAGCTTCTTCAGGTGGAACCCCACCCGCTGCTTCTGGTTCTAGTACGGGATCCGGTGTCGCCGCAGGTTCTTCTGCTTCGTCTGCCATTGTGAATTTTGGTGAGGGATCAGTGTCACGAAAATTTGATCGACGATAACTTGATTATAAGGACTTGACATTCCAATGATGTAAGTACTGTTCTGTCCACTAGATTAAAAAAAGTGTGAACTGAACAGGGTTTGTATAATTGTAAGAAATTCAAGTGTCTCAGTTCGGAAATTTGTATCACTATACTTGTCTAAAGATCGATGACGTCTCATTCATACCAGTTATTGACTTTTAAAGCGAACAAGGATCTATACTTAATAAATAAGGAGCCAAATGAACACGAAATACGAATCGGGGAAAGACAAATTTCTGCGAAATTTTGCCTCCCCCTTCCCCGCTGAACCTTTTCTTTTCAAAAAGGGCGATTTTTTCGCCGTCCTCGTCCTTTGTGACCGTCCATTGTTAGGTCCTGATGTGATTGACGTGTTCGATTCTCCTAGAATGATGTCGACTCGATCTGCCACTTATTCGGTTTAAATAGTTAATCGTTTGCAGTTCCGTGCGAACGACGAATTTTCCTAAAAGTAATAAAAGAAGAATTAGTTGTCAGACTGCGGACGCGTTAATTTTTGATGCATGTTGTGGATATTCCGCTGTTATTTTCGTCTGTACATAGATGTTAAGGTGTGAGTAATAGGGCGTTCGAAAGCAGATTTCCATTAGCGGCGGACAACAAACTGTTGGTTATTTTAGATGGAAAAATGGAAGAACAGTGTTCCCATGTCCCCTGTGACATACCGGTCACTGATTCCAACTGTCTGACTTATCGAATATTGAACTGACCGACAGGGAGTTGGTCGTGCAGTGGGGTGGAGGCGAAGGGGGTTTCTTAAAAATGGGGAAATTTTCATCGGCGACTATCATAGAATAAAACAACTCGATATAACATTTTTCAGAATGTTGTGATGCCTATGGTTACGGAATCACAAAATTAATTTCAACTTCAATATAAAACAATCTGAATCAACTGAAAGCAATGAAGACAACAAATATTTCTTTGAAAAATTTCATAACATAAGGCAAGTGTAAGATCCTTATGTTGAAGAATCTCTTCGTTCCAGTATTTCGAGTTGCGAGTTGGTGTGAGCGTGGACGCGCCGCCTCTGGCTCGCCTTCACTTACAAGCCGGCTCTGATTATCGATGGTCTCGGAATCGCTGACAGGTGGTAAAAATATTAATCCGGTTAAATAATGAATCGCGTTTCGCGGGGGTTGTTTAGAATTGTAAATTTATTTATGACACTTGGATGTCGCATCCATTTTATGTATATATTCAAAGTATAATAAAATAATTAAAATTTAAACGGATGCAATTAATAGATAAAACTTTTTGGAGCGTATTTTTTTGTATCTCTCGCACACACATGCAAAAACACATCATACGGGCCATGTACCGAAAGCTTTTTTAATTAAATTATATACATAATAGGCGACGACTTTAATTAAGGGATTTAAAACAGTTTTCAAATATAAAATGGGTAAAATGCAAAACGGTTGAACATTCATTGCTTCAAGTGTACAAAAAAGCGTGCATGAAACGGACACATTTATAATACGACCGCCGCCGCCCCCATTAGATTAAGTAAAATGCATTTCATGTAAAATTTTTTCCCCCGGATAAATTTATGTGTACTTCCGCACCGTCGTCCATTTATTTATCGCGCGTCGAACTCGTCAATTAATTTTTCGAAGCGTTCACCGAAAAACAAAAACACAAAAAACGCAACCCTTAAATTCGACGTCTGATAGATGCATCGCGCCGATAAGCGCCCAAAACTCATTTCGGGCGGTGATTGCGGAACCGCAGCCCCCCGTTTAAGGGCGCAAACAAAAACGGGCGCACTGTCATCTTTCGGTTACATACGAAATTAAATAAAATGAAAAACGTCTTTAGCCTGACATGTACCGTGGTTGTGGATGCGGTAAGGGCGAGAATTACACGATCAACTGGAGGGTGGTCGACTTTACTGCTATTGCCCTTTCATGGAAATAACTGTCATCTATTTTGCAGATAAGATCGTAATTGAATCGGCTTGACGGCAGATTTGCACACGGACCACTGCATGGAATGGGTACACTATTATTTTGGATACAGTCTCGCAGAAATATTGCGCCCCGCCGGTGGCCAGGGGCGGACTACAATTTTTTACCGAGACTGATTTTTTTTTTTTTTTTGACAGAAACAGCCGTTTTAAGCATTCCTTATAAATTTGTTTATGCGCTGAAAAATTATTTTAAACTAATAAGCTAGAAACAATATTTTTTATTGAAAATGTGCCCGTGGCATTTTTTTCAAAGTCGTGTTTCTGTATTCAAGGCTTTAGATTGTATTGCTGGCAATTATTCACTGTGATAAAATCACGCATAAAATTCATAAATTCTTTATAAGTCACGATAATGCAAAAATTAGTGTCACTGTGCACTGATCGGACAACTCAAGTACTTTGCTCTGGAAATTTATGTCGTAAAAAGTTAATGTTTTCTCTACTTGGTAGCTTGTAGTTCAAGGTTGCAACAAATGTTCAGCTGGACGTCACAGACTACTTCGCAGTGAAAATGATTAGCACATATCTTTCCTATTCATTTTTAGGATTAGTAACATTGATTAAAATCTTGTTTTGAACAAAAAAAGTTTCTACATATTTCCATTCCTGGTTCCTGTTTCGTCTACTACGTATTGGATTAGATTTAATTACATTAATTAAGAGATACCTCACTAACACCGAGTCGTCGAAATTTCAAAAATTTCGTTCCGGAATCCGAAGCAGTTGCATCCAACAATATGAAACTAGAATCGATAATGAACAGTCGATTAATTACGCCATAGTTTTGGATTTGGAAACGTTGTCGAGTAGGGAAGCTGATGCCGTGATACAGAAGCCAATAATCTCATTAATTAGTTAATTAGCGCAAGGTATTTTCAATGACAGCTAAAGCGCGCGTACAGGGATGGTTATGTCGGTCGGAAACCGCATAATCATAACATGACCATACCACGAACGTTGCGGCTCGTCTCACCATCGATAAAAACAACCGAAAAAAGAGCAGCGAAATAAAGTTTCGCAACTCCAAGCACTTCTATAAGTTGCCTTGTAATGAACAACTAATTAATGAATTTGATAAACAAAGTTCGTTCCCACTTTTATTAAGTAATACTTGAATGGATCTAACAAAGTGGAAAATTCTCCCAGGAAAGAAGGTATCGGGTGAATTGTCGAAGCAAATTCGGAGACATTCACCGATCAATTAAGGGATAAAACACAAAAGCTTCTTGCTAGATGAAGTTTTCGAAGAGAAAGGATTCGTTCGGATACGATTTAAATTCTCTTCGATTGTTTACTAATTATCGCCCGAACAAGCTAAAAATGTTTCCCATTTACATTCTAATTGCATTCGAATGCGAATTCGTAACTCCGGCTGATTCATTCAAAGCTCCCCGAGCTTGCGGAGCAAATTGTCTCGGTTTTAACTCAGACGTGGTCCGGACGACACATTTTAGAAATTCTACACACCGAGCAGATCGCCAGCTTTACGCCTCGTCGGCTTTCTTAAATAACCCTAAAGGCTAATGTTGACAGTATACATCGCCGAACAAATATATACTCCGTTTACCGAACAGATGGAGTTGTAGAAGTGGTGATTTTCACTTGAGTTTTGAACACTCTAGTCATACCTCTTGTTTCCGCTCACTTATGTTCGAGTGGTGATCACTCCATCTGTTCGGTAAACGAAGTATAGCGTAGAACGTTGTTAAAAGCAAAACAAAGTGCTTGCAAATCCGAAATGTACAACAACGTCGCCAAAGAATAATCTTCAAAATACGACACCTAATGCGTGGGTTCGAGTATCTCGAGTAATTTGTGGGCGAAACTGGATCCCTCATTGTTTAACAAGTGCGAATTCGAACCTCTCCCTTTTAACTCTCAGAAATAATCCCGACGACGCGTTTTAAAAATTTCACGGGTGAATCGTGGATGTGTGTTTAACGCTTCGTCCACTCCTTCGGCCAGCCCTCAACGCAAATTGAACTTTAATTAAAGAACGATCGCATGTTAGCGGTTGTTGTTATTTGCTACGTTCACTACAGCGCTTGTAATAGTGGCGAAGGGGCAGATAATAGCCGCTGGAACGTCGTTACCGCCCTACACAGTAATTGGGTAAATGGGAATTGTCTACCCGAAATTAGCAGATTCTTGTTACAAGTGTACGACCGCCGCCGAGCCTCGTCGAAATAATAACGGACGCATCGAAAACTCGTTACGCTAACGACCACGCAGACGGACGCACAGACATTTTTGAGCTTTTTTCAATTTCGATTTCGAGAGCGCTCGCGACAGGAATTAGCTGACGTTTAGCTTTTTAGCTTTTTTGTCGAAAGAACGAGAGGCGTGTGCTTCCTGCACAAAGGGGGTAAAGCTCTGAGCTTTGTTTGTACGTTACCTGGTTGCGTTCCTTCCGGCTGTACGTAATATAAATAATCTTACTTCAACTCTTTTGTTGCGCTTTGTTACATTCGAAATATGAGACCATATTTTATTCACTGCCTCTAATTATTCTCCTTCTTGCTTCTATGTGTTATTCTACACGTGTAGTTCGTTGTACGAGTTAATTATTGCCGACTAAATTAATTGTGTGCATTGTTTGCTCTATTTCACTTGCGAGGCTATGCGGGGACGGTCCCGGATTTGTGCAGCGCCATCTGGACCGTCGTAACTCGAGCCAGACCTCGAGAAACAAAAAATAAAGCGCTGCACACCGACGTGAGTGTTACTTTCGAATTAACATCAGAAGTGGGATTAGCGATTCGACGTTTCTGGTATATAATTTTATAAATGAGTCGGACGATTAGCTATTAGTGTCTTCGTCGACCCTTTGATTATTTTTTGCGGTTTTCCCCCGCCCATCATTACCGTGTTCGCTCTATGTGCAGTCAGCGTGCGGAAATCAATCGGAGCTGCCGTGTATGATGATGGGGGCGCTAAAAAGGTAATGAAGGTGGGTAATGGAGAAGATAAATAATAACGGCGTGCAGCTTAATG